AGAGAAATTACTTCTGAATAGAAAAAACAATAAAAAATGTTTTCATAAGCACAATGTTTGTAAGAAATATTCACAATTAAATATTTTGCCTAAATTGTGCATCCCCAATACTGAGGTGTTTCACCAAAGAAACACTTTGCTTTGGAGTACAGATGTAGAAGATGTATTAATGCCACAATTTAATCCTATTTCAAAATGTAAAATCCTCAAGTTGTCAACCACATCATCTGAGCCATGCACACGTAACAATGGAATGGTACTGTTGCACCCGTTCTGTTGTGAATATCAAATGTTGGTCTATAAACAAAATCGATACTACACTCGGGTCATGCTAATGGCCACCAGATGTTCACCGTTCTGGAAATGCAGTTAGGGCCTTGTGGAGATCTTTATAGGGATGAATAATGCGTTGCTTGTAGCTGCCGTGGTGGATAAATAAACACGAGGTCTCATTCATTTTTCAGAGGATCTCCTGGTGGCAGTCTGCGCGAGCCCCTCCTCTGGACCACCTACTGTACCATCACATGAACAGGATTTGGCCTTTCCCCAGTCACTTCCCTCTCACTGCTCACACATTCACAATTATTTGGGCAACACTGAACTGCAGAAATGTTAAGTGGAGCAAATGGGAACAAGTGACTATCTATTTCCACTAATCCACTTGCGTTTTAGTTTTAATATGGACATAAATGTTTAATCAAAAAGTCAACTTGTATATAATTGTGATTTCAATTCTGTTTTACTTGTACAGATTGGAAAAAGAAAACCTCTGCAGAAAAAAAAATAGTGGAAATGTACCACAGGGCTCTTTCCTAAAAGTACGCAACAGAGAACATATTTTCTAACAAGATGAAGACAGCATGTTGTAAAAGTAACATATTGTGAATGTTCAGACTACAAGACTTTCTGTTGGGACAAACAAAATGCATTATTTATGAATCAAAAGACAGCTTTAATGGTCTTATTTTGGAGTCAGCTCATGATGCTTTGCTTTAGATCTAAAGTGTCTCACAGCATTGTTGCATCTTTTAATAGTCTGACTTTAATTCATGAAGAAGGAAAACCTGATGTCATAAAAAGTTTAGGAGAGGTAAAGTATGTTAATAGCCTGATTTTATATAAACAGTTGTCCCTTGTGCTCCGGGTGCGTTTTATATGTTACAGTATGTGGACAGAGTAATGCACCATCATTGGGGCATAATTATAAGGCAGTGTTTATCAGCGACAGTGGATAATGACTAGGTTGTCCGCAGTGCCTCCTCCAGTGCGCGCTGCTGGACAGGAACCACCGTACACACGTTTTGATTATTACTCTCCTCGAGACGCCTAATGCCCCCTCTACCTCCTCCCCTGTACAGCAACAGTCATGTCTGTGGTGAAGACTGACAATTAGCAGTTGAATGACTTTCTTTAAGCATCCCAAAATAAAATCTCCTGCAGGCCTTTCTAACGTGTCTGTTTGGCCCATGCCCTGTAATTGAAGCTGCTGGGTGGTAGTGATGATGCAAAAGGCTTTATGCTAACCAGACCCACAGATCTTCCACTGGCACCACACAAGCTGTCTCCCACTGACCGTGATCTGAAACAGATGCAAAGTGAAATGGCAACTACGTCTTGTCAACATGCTTCCATTGTCTGCTTTTCATTGATGGATCTACACTTCTGTACAACTTTTTAATGGAACAATTTGTAGTTTTTTCTCTTACTGGTGAAAAACACATTCTACCAATACATCTGAAGTTCACACTCAAACCAGCGTTTTAGATGTCTTACCTGCACTTGGGTGCACATACGTGATCCGCTGCTCCTCTGGCTCTGGTCTCTCGTATGCTGCAGGTGCTGATGGTGAGGATTAAACCAGATGGACTTACTGGCAAATTAACCGGCAACCCAAAAGAGACAGCCGTACTTACAAATCGGATAATCAGTGTGGGAATTGTTATCATCAATGTAGCCGTCACACACATTGTTTATGTTCACGTTCCTGCATACATCAGATTGTTCTCAGTTGGGTGATTATACTCTAGTCTTGATGGATTGTTTTTAACTGTTTAATAATCATCAAATGAATCTTGTTGACTATAATGGACCACTGCAGTGTCCAGTTTGCTGCATTCTGAGTAATAAAAGATACAGTACGTACATCTACAGTAAGGTAGGGCTGCACAATGTTGTCATAATATGTAATTACTATTTCTGGTCCCATGTTGATCTTAAGTACATTCACACAGTCAGATAAACTAACAAATAAGTTTAAATTTTTGGGTCATTTTTATGAAAATAACTTTTATATGCAATTTATGTACTACTATATCTTGACATTTCTCTCAAAGTGGGTATTTTGTTTTTTTTAAAGTATAATTTGCAAAATGTGACTTTAATTGCAATTTACTCTTGCAGCCCCAACCTTCAATAAGTAATTGAGACTGACACAAAATATTTAGATTTTTGTTCCTATCTTCTTGTCAAAGGTCACATTTCATCTCACTTTTCAAGCAAATAGTTTGTGCAAGAAGAAGTTGGTTTAATGGAAGGAATGACTAAAACACTGGTTCAATGAAAAGCCCATGCACCACAAATGCAGACTTACTGGCTAAAGGAAAATTACTTCATGAGGAGTAATTTTAGAGCTCTGAATGCTAGCATGTTATTGCACACTCACACCAACGGCATGGCCCTAATGATCTAGACTCTAGTGTATGAGTTGATTACAGTTCAGTTCAGCTTTAATCAGCGTTTCCTCTTTTTGACAGCCACAGGAACCAAGAAGAATCGGCCAATGAATTTCTCTAAATGTTTTTCCCATATCTAAAATACTTTCCCATCCAAGACTAAATAATAGGCTTTCCTTCTCCTCAGATGTACCCCTCCCATCGTTAACTTGTGTGTCATGTTGTCCAATTGGCACCCTTATGGCACAGCACACTTGCAACAAGCTGTAACTATGGATAATCCTTTGTGGGGGCTGTTGAAGACCATTTGTTTACATGTTTGGAAACAAGTCGTGTGTGCAATCAAGCTGAAAGTGGAGCAGCCCCCAATAATTACTCTAAACTATTCGCCTGAAACTGACTTATTTACTAATTATTGTATCATTTAAATGGCTTTTTCACTCAATTAGTTGGAGTTTATCATTTAATTGTTACAGCTTGACTCCAAACCAATCAGAAAAGTGTCTTGGCTCTAGTGTAGGCTTTGTGTTTTTTAGGGTAAAAATCGGCTTTTGCTCATCACAGCTTTTTTAATGAAAAATGGATGTGTCCTAAATATATACATGCTGTGAACATTATGCCCATTCTCTTATTACATTCCTCGACTTCGAAGTCATCGTGCAATTTTGTTAAGTATGAAAGATGGACATCAGTCTGACTCTTATGTAACATTGGTTTGCTTTGCATTAGAGTGGTTTTAAACATACATTGTAGGAGGCCTCAGATGCAGTACCTCTGAAGCTCTAAAGTACGCATAGCTGTCAGGTATATGCCTCTGAGATTGTTTCACTGCGGGAGAGGTATTGACTGCACTATCCTTCTCAGGCTGCCTTTTGTTATTATTCCCTCTTTATCCTGTGAGAATCCGCAATGATCATTTCTGGTAAAGTCGTCTTGGCATGCACCCCTAATCTGCCCACTCACCGAAGAGAGAGAAGAGGAAGATTGGACTTGATTGAGAACAGACACATTGTTCAAAGACTTTTTTTCAATTGGAAGCGGGTGCTGGATAAACTTGATCATTGCCACTGCTAAATGTAGCTTCAGGAAAGTGTTGGTAGGAAGTTACTTCCACTTATTAAAGTAAATCAAAATATTATAACTTTTCAATAGGATGTCATTCAGATTTTCCCTTTTTTAAACATTAAATATAGCTTATTATTTTTCTGATGTTGCTTGTCTCCATGATTATAACTAACCCTCAATTCCAAAATCCCAATACTAAAAGTCTGGGGGTACATTTAACTTCAGTTCTCAGCCTAGAGCATCAAGTAGTGACTCACAGCGCTTTTTCAAAAGAAAATCGTTTTATTTACATTTTACAAGACTTTCCGTGCATTATTCACACAAAAAAGGTTAAAGATACAACATTTTTAACACCGTTTACCTACGAAGGTCGTTGTTGCCTAGAGGGCAGAAAACTATTTTGAAAGACTCATTATTTCAGCAAAACCAGTTTTTTCTTTTTTTCTTTTTTAAAGACCGTGCATTATGGAGTGTTATTTTGTTATGGTTTTGTGTAGGTGCAGGTTCAGTTCAATGCCAGACAGCACAATTTGCTTTAGGGATTCCAGACAGTAAAAATGTCTGTGGTGAGTTATATTCTCCTCAGACTCTGACCAGGTGTGCGCACGTGTGCCTGAGGTCACTCTCTCTGCTGCCTGTGTCACTCTCTCTCTCAATTAATCCAACATCAACCTTTGATGCTTCTGTCTGCCCTTTGCTATCGTCTGCAATAAATTACCCTTTGACACAAATGCTGAGCTTGAGTAAATTGTTAATATATAAGTATATGGCGCCCTCTTCTGTCTTGAACTGGAATGGAAAGCCTTCTCATACTTAACACAAAACCATTCCATTATAATGTAAGGTATACCCTCGTAATATCTTGATGTTAAAACGATTAAATCAGAGAAAAGGGTGTACTGTGAGATAATATCTTTGAGCTGTGGTGTTGATGATGGAGTCGTATTGCAGACACATGGAGGTGTGATTGTCGGGGCGATTAGAGCTGGCAGCAGCCCCAGAGGAATGTTGGGTGTGACTCATGCACTTGTGCTGTATTTCAATGCAACAAATCAGAAACGTTATCCCTTCAAAGCACAACATGTCACTTACATGTCACTTACATGTAACCAATGGCGCTCAGTTTGCCTATTGAGAGACGTACTGTAGGTGTCCACAGCTTAGTTCCTTTCTGCCACATCACTTTGTTTATTTCAGTTGTTGATATTGAGAGTATGTATGAGTGCTCGTCTTACCGTCTGTGTGTGTGGTTTTCTGTTACAGGAGTTCTCGCCTGATTACAGAAGCAACTCTTTGTCCAGTCGAACTCCCACTCCCCCGGGGCGCTACTCTCCTCACAGCCCCACTGACAGAGATGTGCCCATGTCCCCACGGCGCAGGTAACGGTCTGTTTTTGGAGCAATAACGGCTAAAGTAAAGCTATTACATCGAACATTTAGAACATTTAGAATATTTGCAGCAGGCCCAGAGCAACTAGAAAAGACAAAACTTTTGGCATCTTTTCAATATTTTCTGTCATGATTAACTCTTTAGGTGCAACTGCTTTGTCAGAGACTTTATGTGAAACAGACAAAAGGTGGAGCCCTGACACGTTATAAGAGATAGAGAACCAGTATAATCAATAACGGAAATAAATGAAAATGTCGGGAAACGTTTGTGGGAAGCCAGGTTTGCTGCATTGGAAGTTCCCTAAGTTTTAAAAAACATGTTTTCAAGGAAATCTGTGCTTTGATTTTAATTTCCATGAGAACAAATTATTTTTCAACTCAAATTAAATGTCTCATCCCCAATTCGGGAACCACTGCACTGTATAATGCTGAAACGATTGTAAAAAGGATAAACAAGTGAAAACTAAGCACGGTCACTGGAGATGTGTCTCTGAAGCATCCGACATCTGTGAATCAGAAACAGCTGTCAGGAACTGAACCCAGCTCTGCACTTCCCTTTTCTGTTACTTCAGCAGGTGACCCGATAATTAGCATTTTTAACTTTTAAAAATTAACTGTTCCAATTTGTCCAACCCGCTCTGTCTGTGATATTTGTGCAGCTGAGGTGGGTTAATGGAGCGGTTTGCAGCTGCACTTTTGTTCCAGACATTACAATTATGTTTAGAGCTTTCAGGAAACGGTATATTGCATTTCCCACCTGCCCTTTGCTGATGAGGTGACTGCTCTGCCTGGTCATTTCGCATGTTTTCAATGGACTTCCTTTGTGCAGATTTAACTAGTGCTGTCAAACTATTTAAAATACTAGCGAATAATCACATTAATGTCATTGTTAACTCACAATTAATCGCTATTAATGGCATTTTTCCCTGTTCTAAATATCCTTGATTTGGTTTGAAAAGGGATTGGATTTTTGTGTGTGTGTCTATTTAACAATTTATCACAGTAGAAATGACTTGAATTGTCTATTAAAGGCTACTCTTTTGCTTGTTTTCATTCAAGTTAGTTTACAGTGTATATGATGATCACGTGCAGTGGAAATAACTTTAGCGTTTGGACTGTGACCTGGAGATAGTTGTGACGGCGTCCAGTATTCACCAGTGAGCGCGACTGCTTTTGTTTTCTCCAAAGCTCACGTCCTCTACACAGCGCACGCGTCTTTTCAAGCTGAAAGGCACAGTGCTGCACGGCCAGGCGCTCGTCCGTCCAAAATATGACCCACACATATTTCTTTTCCGCACAGTGACGTGGCTTTTAACATGTGCTTGTGTTAACGGTCTTTGATTCTAGGCAAGGCAAGTTTATTTGTATAGCACAATTCATACACAAGGCAATTCAAAGTGCTGAACAGAACAAGAAAGCATTAAAATCATAAATAATCACAGTACATAAAAAAAAAAAGATAAAAATATAAAATCCCTCAGTTGTATGCACAGCTAAACAGAACTGTTTTCAACCTTGTCTTAAACATTGTCAGAGAGGAGGCCTGTCTCACATCTTCAGGAAGACTGTTCCAGATTTTAGCAGCATGAATCTGAAAAGCAGCCTCCCCATGTTTAGTTCTGACTCTGGGCACTAACAGGAGTCCAGTCCCTGTGCTCCTCAGAGTCCGGGCTGGTTCATATGGGACTAACATGTCACTAATATAGTTTGGTGCGAGGCCATGGAGAGACTTGTACACAAGCAGAGCTGTTTTAAAGTCTATTCTCTGAGCCACAGGAAGCCAGTGCAGGGACCTGAGGACTGGACTAATGTGGTCGTACTTCCTGGTTCTAGTCAGGACTCGAGCTGCTGCATTTTGAATGTACTGCAGCTGTTTTACAGCCTGTTTGGACAGACCTGTGAGCAGGCCATTGCAGTAGTCTAACCTACTGGAGACAAATGCATGGATAAGAATCTCCAAGTCTGCTTTAGACACTATGTTTTTGATCCTGGCAATGTTTTTTAGATGGTAAAAAGCTGCTGATGTTACTGATTTGATGTGGCTATTAAATTTTAAGTCTGATTCTAGATCAGCTCCACACACCCATAACACGTATTAAGCTTTAAAAGGAGGGAGACCATGAAGACAAACGCATACTTTACAGGGGCAGGGCAATTTAAAAGATGACACAATTAAAATGGGTTTGCATTAACTGATAGCACGATTGTTGACACATATTTTGACAAGCGGCGATGGCATACAGTTTGACTCTATGATGCAGATTCACTAAGGCATTTTGTGATGGGCATTTCTTCACATTGGGATGGGGCCAGTCCGTCTATGATTGAAAGCAGTTTTATTTTGTATGTTTTCATTCCGTGATTTCTTTGTTTGTCTAGAATGCCTTGTCCATGTGTTTATTCTCTTGATTGGCATGCTCTGTGCCCAGTCTCAGCTGTTTTCACATAGCTGAATGGTTGACTTTGGCTTGATGGTTTGCCTTGGGGAATGTGAGTCCTGTGATAGGATGTCACCAGCTACAGTCAAATCCAAACTCCACATTTTGCCTAAAAAGTCAGATTTCTCTTCTCCCCCTAATTGGCCCCCCAGTCCAGAGACCCCAGCCTGCACACAAAGCCTCTTCTTGCTTTCCGACAACCAACCAAAGCCCTGGAACCTCCTCTGTGTCCGCCCCTTTGCCTTGCACGGCCAATCAGAGCACACCCATGGGCACACCTTTCAGCTGGGCTATTGTTTTTCTGTCTGGTCCGCTGTAGATGCAGAGGTGTGTTGTACATATGTGTGCATGTTAATATTTTCTTCGTACACGAGTTAGAGGAGTGACTGCAGTGTTGGGACGGCCACAAAAATCTAGTTTCTCTCTGAGGCAAGTATGGCTAGCTTTCTATGTCCAGGATATCCAGTGTTGCCTTGCTGTATAGACAAATTGATACTGCTTTGAGAAATGTGGTTGGAATTTAGCCTTGTGATGTGAAATTGTTTTGTCTTCTCCAACTTTCTGTTCTTCTCCACTATCCCTTTATCATTTCTATTGTACCGCTGTTTCCATTCTGGGCATAGAAACCACTAAGCTGTTTCTCAGATGCTGACGTTAATGCAGAAATATTTAAAATTTTTTCCACAGAACAAGTCGATATCAAGTTTACAACGGCACATGGGGGCATTTGATGAAGCGGCTGTACCGTTTTTTTTCCTGCGCCCCTATCTATTTGTTTTGCTGTCCTTTGACCGACACGTTCCATTTGTTTTGTAGATTGCATGTCAGAGAGTTGAACAAAACGAAAAGTGATTGCTCAGGGTGGAGGGAGCGCTTTAAAGTCTGGTTTCAATTTAAACCTTGTTCGTTGATAAAAGGAGGAAAAAAAAGAACATGGGCTTAAGTTACTGTACATGGTTTGCTCTGTCCCTTTATTGTTCATGTATGAAGAAATATAAATGCATTTGAGCAGTTGAAACTTATTTAACTTGATGCATCCTAGTTGAGAGGGTGTAACATTGTGCTTACTGCTATGGTGACTGATCTAATTCTTAAGGGAAAAAAATATTCAGACAACTGCTACTACTTTTTTGTGCAGTTTTCCTCTACTCCTTGACCCATGGGCAATTTTAAGCTGACCTAATAGATCTAATGTCCCTCCTCTAACGCTCTCTACCATTCAGCAGACATCAAAAATCACCTCTGTTCTCTGTAAACTATAATTAACACCTATTTACTAAGCCCAGGGTCCCGGCTTTAACACATCCCTCTTCACCCAGATCTCCACAGCACAGGTGCGAGTCTCAAGCTGGATATTTTTGCCGTTCTTTGCTGAAATTCTGTTGACAAGCGAGCCTCTTGTCAGTTTTTTTTTCTCTCGGCTCAGGTGTGGTTGAGGCCCATTACCTGTGGCCTACTGTTATTACCTGACGGACCAGTTTGTTCTGATGGCAAACGTTCAGCAGATGCCTCCAGACACACACACATACACACTCTGACAGACGCGAGAGCACTTGTATCTATTCACACCACGCCTGCTCTACTCCTTAACCACATGGACTTTAGCAGGAGCTGTAAAAAGTAACAACTTCCCCGCCACATGAGGGAGAGTTGGTCGTTGCAGTACTTTTACTGGTTTGTAAACGTGGTAATTGCCAACGAGTCAAGTTCAAAGGCATGTGTTTATTTTGCACTTGTCAAAAGCTTGAATAATGTTATTGACGCTCTTGTGTGCTTTTTATTGTATAGGTCCGTCAGTGGAGCTTAAGTAATGAAATAAGGAGAGAGCATACATTTGTTATTGAACTTGACTTGATCCCAATATAAATTAAAATGTGGCTGTTCAAACATTTACACTCAAATGGTGACACAAGCGAAGATCTTTGTGCCTCACCTGAGAGGCCTGGGGAGGATGTACTGTATCAGGAGGTTCTGTGTCTGGACAGTTTTGAAATTCACTGCCCGGAAGTATGAAGAGACTGGTTGTAGTTCCTCTGGAAGGCCTTCTGCTACATTTGGTCTAAAACATCAGGGACATTTGGGTCTGCTCCAGTTAAGCTTTCCCAATTGCACATACATCTTACAGTTCTTTACTTAAGTCGTTCAAATTCTACAAGCGGCACTACTTGGAGTTTACAGCTCAGGAGATCTCCATCCGTCATCTTTACACCATATTATAAATGCATTCTTATTCTATTGCATATGTATTAGTGCGGCAGGTTTTATGGGAATCTTATTATACCAACTCAATTTCCCTCCATAGGTTAAAGAGAGCTGTTATCGAGCAGACAGCTTTCCAGGGAAAATGGTGGAAGACCCCTCTCTTATGATGAATGTTCACACTTTAGCTAATTGAAGTGGACTTTGGGATGAATCCTTTGTATGGATCTTTATCCAGATTCTTAAGTCGCCTCAGTTCACTTGCTGCTTTGTAACAGAGCGAGGATGTCTTGTGTCAGCCAGTCACCGCAAAAATCATTAAACTTACACCTATCAGCATTAAAATCTGATTACTGTTTTGTTTCCGAAGGATCTGGGTTTGACTTCTCTGTGACCTGCGGTTACTGACACACATTGACCTTTCCTCTGTGATTGTATTCAATAAAACACACGTGTCCCTCTTAATGTAATCAGTTTAATCAGGAGGCAAATACAGCGTTCTTCCGGTGACATGTTTCTCTTGTCATTTGCAGTAGTTCGGGCTCTGACTTTGCCATGCAGAAGTTTGACAAGGACTCGGAGGTGTACAAAATGATCCAGGAGAACAAAGAGTCTCGCACGGCGCCGCGACAATCCAACACCTTCAAAATGCTGCAGGAGGTGCTGGAAGCGGACGAGAAAGGTGGGCTTCACATCGGCTGCTTGTGTAATGTGCTAAAAATAACTACTTGTATCATACAGGTTAGATAAGCCGAAGGGGAAGCATGTTCCCAAACATCATTAAATCATGTTAGACAAATTAATCAATCCACTTGAATTGAAATATACACTCCCGTCAACAAAACAAAACAAAAACAAAATCACTAGTTGCTTTATAAGAAGAAGATTAAAAGTACGAAAAAATACAAGAGGATCCGACGCATAAAGTGCAAAAAGGTTAACAAGGGGTGTTTTAGGTTAATTTTTCGCCTTTGAATGGAGGACTCACAGCAGGGTTAGAGAAATGTAAGACTAGATTATGATAAAACTATAAAAAACCATGTACTATTGTATATTATTTATGTTTGATCCATATTAGCTCACGCAAGATGCTGAACCTCCCTACGGTGATTTCATTGAATTGTTCAAACGTTCAATTATAAGCACAGTCGACAATCAAAACACATGACATCATCATCAGTACACCGATGAAACGTTGTCACTTTGAGAACAAACTAATCAAGATAAGACGAGCATTCCTTTATGAATCAATGGATGAAAGGGTAAAAATCCATTCTGACCAGGCTCTGAACCTTTTTAAGGCAGTTTTTTCATTTATTTATATCTTTCAGAGGCTGCACGGATGTTCCCAGGAAACCTCTCTCCCAACCCGCCCAAGACCAGCTCCGTGGCGGGTGTCAACAAACACCACCCCTGTGAGAAGTGTGGCACCAGCATCGTGTAAGTGAAGGGGAAACGATAAGAATGAAGTTATTATATTGGACACAATAATGGGATTGTCATTTTATGCTTGTCCCATATGATAATAGTCTTCTCTCACAAACAAAAATATAATCCAATTTCCAACTTGTTTTCCTAGCAACACTTTAGTAAATGTTTTAGCCTGTCGCGATACTATATATATAACTTAAGGTTCAATAATTGATGAAAGAAACAATAGATTTTGGTGCTCAATATATTCAGTCTGTGTTTCCTTCCACATTATTGCCATTTTCTTTGTAAATGGGCTCAAGTTTTAGCTGTAGAGGGTTGAATAATTCAAAATGTCTTCATCCTTACTTATTTTACTTATTAGCTAGGCCTTTAATCAAATGTAGAAATTGAAGAACGACTTGACTGGGATATCGCTGCTATAATGTAAATGTTTGTATTGTGTTTCTGCAGACATATTTAATTGAATATTATTATTATCGTGACTGGTCGAGTGGTGTGGCCGCAGAAGCTCAACTGATGTTTCTCAATAGTCAAGAGCTGCTGATTCAAAACTGACCTGAGGCTGAAAGTCTTCTGTGTCTCTGCAGGACCCAGGCGGTGCGCATTGCGGACGAACGTTTCCGTCATGCCGAGTGCTACACATGCTCAGATTGCGGGCTGAACTTGCGGATGAGGGGCCACTTCTGGGTCAATGATGTCATGTACTGTGAGAAGCACGCCAACGAGCGGTACCATGGACCCGGCCGATCCCCTCATTACTGAGCTCTGAGGAGCTTTGGACAGACATCAGTGTGGACTGTTTATGACATGCCAGTGGAGTTTTTCCTTGATCACTTTATTTTGCTGTATTGTATTATGAATACTTTTCTTGCAAACTATTGACTTTATATGGCCCAGTCCATACTGTTCATAATTATCTTTTTCTATATTTAGATTTAAAATGTACCATTTGCCTAGCATTGAACTGCAAGATGCCAAACATTGGACAGATCTGTTAGGACTGGTCCCAAACAGTTTGGGGCTCTGATAAATTGGATTGAGTTCTGTCTTAATGAAATGGGACCAAAGCTTATCTATTGCATGCCATCAGCTGCGGTGTGGGGTGGTGGCTGTGTGCAGATGCATGCTTTTACATGCAGAGGTGTCAGTCTCCGCATGCCTTCAGCAGCTGCGTTTGAGTGGGCAAGACGCATGAATGAACTGGGTCCAAATGAGCAATTTGTTTTGTGTTCATTTTGTGCTCGAAAAGGCCAAGTTTAAACTTTGTTTTTCTTTATAAGCAATGCGTGTTGGTAATCTATAGAAAATACTGACTTGTGCTTATGAGGGACTTTAAGATGTTCACTTGACAATTACAAATGTTTTGTATTGAAAATGTATTTTGTATAGACATGCATAACCATGCACAGGACATTAGTGCGGGGTTGTGATTATACAATACACTTGTCCAGTTCGCTGCAGTATCCTGAAAATAACTTTTCACATTTAATGTGGCACTTAATAAATTATATCAAATTCTTGTTTTGTATGCTGTGTATATGGGATTCTATGTTTCTCTGCCTGGTACGGAGCCAAGTTTAATTAAGTTATCTGATTGTTATAATGTTATAGTTGTCTAATTGGGAGCAGCTGTACCGTGGCTTCAGTTTTAATGGGGTCAATCACTATAGCAACATGCTTTGCAGAAAAAAAAGCCATTATCTTAATTATTAAATGGAGCTAGATGTGTGTGTATATATATATGTGTATATATAGATATATATAGATGCTTGTGGACTCTGCTCATTAAAACACATTATTCATAAAAAATAATAATTCCAGTGAGTATAAGGTGGTGCCCGCAATGTCGCTCACCCTGGCGGTCTTTACACTGGACTCCCAGCAGAGGGCGCCAAAGCCATAAACTTCACGTCTAAACTTGCAGCTGAAGCGCTGAACCTTCTGAATTCATGGTGCTGTGGTGTCCCTAGAGGTAGCACATCGCCCAGTTACGAGGAACCAGTTTTTTTTTTTCCTCTTGATTGTTGCCATGATCAGTCCCAGCGTGCATTACGTTCACTCTCTTGAGTATTTTCTTGTGCAGCAGCCACCATAGCCTCAAGCGTGTGTCGTCGATCTTTAATCTGTAATGTGTAGTACCCCACGTCTCTCTCCGTCCTACCTGAATGGGTGCAGATGTGGACTTGTGGAGAGCTGGACAAACTGCAGCGAGGGTGAACCAAGAAAATGTTGGAACAGCATTAAAGTTCGTCTGGATGTGATTAAGTACAATTTGATGTAATGTGCAGTTTGGTACGTGACATTTCAAATGGAAACAGCGCTCTCCAGATGAAAATGATTTGGGTCCGCGCAGACTGGGGGGTGTTGCACTTGAAGCTTAAGTTAACAGCCCCGTGTTTCACTGCTGAAGCTGGCGTGCATCCACTCCTCTTGCTTTCTTTCAATAACCACGTTGGCTCCAAAACGCCGTATCATGTGCAGGAATAACAAACCTGCATGATGGCCAGAGCACAAAGCACCATTATATTATTGCATGTGCGGCCCCCCACATGGACGAATGGCCGTGAGTACATGTCAGACTCAATCGGTTTAAACCCTTCTCAGCATTTTTCATTCACATTTTCCCGCCGTCTCCCAGTGTTACTCGAATATCAAAAATATTTAAAACTTCGATCTGGGCAGAGTTTGAGAATGTGCCGACCACAAACTGGCGGTTCACACTTTAATGAAAGACAGACTGTAGGAAGTGTATTCAGCCACCGTATTTTGAAATGTGTGGGTCCTATACGAACTCAAAGGCTTTGGCAAAATATAATACATCCATATATAGGGTAGTTTCATACATTACGCTCAGTGGCATGTATTTGAAATTTAGGAAAGGAATAGATTCAAATTCATTTTATTTGCCATTTGCAGTAAAACCACATTGGAATACATTAGCAAAAGTCTGCAGTGTGCACAGGACAAGTAGACATAAAACAACATTAGAAGTACAGAAATAAAACAGTAAACAAATGTTAAAGTGCTCTGTATAAACTGATAACAGCTTGTGGGAAAAAAACTGTTAGTATATCGAGATATCCTGCATCTCAGAGAACGATATCTTCTGCCAGAAGGAAGAAGCTGGAACAAGGCTTTTCCAGGGTGGCCAGAAGAGTCATTGATAATTCTAAGAATAGATTATGCAGCATTTAATATTGTCATTATGCATATAGATTCAACCTGGCCTTCAAAATAAAATAATCTCCTCATTGCCTGAGAGTAATAACACAATATAAAGAAATACTCAATTTAAACGTAATCTTCACTGATGTAAAATTCGCGATCCAATCCACATTTATATTTCATGAACAGTGTCTAAAGTCCTGTAGAGACAATCACAAACCATATAATCTAAGTTATAGTAATCATCCAAGTCTGTCAGCTATAACAAAAAAAAAACAATGTACTAAAAGAGGTATTCAATTTAATTAGAAAATAAAAATTGATTTAAAGAAATACAGCCTTTATAATTATACCCTGTTTCATTATGAAGCACAATATTCCTCTGAAGATGATAAGACACATCAGAATAAGAAACAGGCCTCACTAAATTGTCTGAAGGATGTTTGAGAGCAGTTAAAACACAGAACACTTGCGCCAATGATGAGGTGGGTTTGGTGCAGGTCACGTGACGCGCCTCCCTGACATGGACGCGCTAGGACCCTGACGCGCGCACAGTCTATGGGGCGCACGCAAGACTCAGGACTCGGACTGAAGTTTCTTGAGAATAGTGCTGTGTGACTGAGACGCTGGCGAAGAAAACTGCCACTTTCGGAGCACAAATGTTAGGACTGTGAAGGAGAAAGTACTCTGCGTGTTTGTCTTTTCATGAGTTAGAGTTCTGAGAGCTGGTGTTCAGAGCGGAGGAGAAAAGGGACTTTGGAGAGTTTGCGGCGCAACTGTCAGAAGTTTGGTTCAGCCCAGGGGACAGTGGATGTGAGGAGCACTCAGCATCAAAAGTTTCAGTGCGTAACGTGCGGGTGGATGTGAGTTCTGAACTTTTACTCTTGCGGGTTTTTGGGATTCAATTGGAGATAACGGCGCTGTGAGAGTAGCGGTCGCAGTTTCAGGCTGGAGATATGGGATGATGACCGGAGGAGGGGGTGCAGCTGAGGGATCATCCAGCCCGAGGACAATGTGTGGCATCCCCGCGCGTCTGGTGCTGATGCTGCTCCTCTGCGCGCTGCCTCTGGAGCTCAGCAGGTCACAGTCGGTCTGTCCCGGGCCCATCGCCTCCACCGGCGGCTGCAGCTGCACAGACGAACGCCCCAAGGGCCACAGTGTCCAGGCACCGGGGAGAAGAGTGAGCTGCAGCAAAGAAGAGCTTTCTGAGCCTCCAGCTCCCGGTGTGCTGCCCAACAAGACCGTCACGCTGTGAGTAACTCCTTAAAGTTGTTTGTCATCGTGTGATTGTAATTTTAGGCATAGGGCAAAAACCTTAATTTAACATCTATCGAGTGAAAATATTTCCTAATCCTGACACATTGAACCAGTTTGAAGTCCATTTTAAACAGGTTTATCATAGGCTAGTTATCGACAAACTATTCAGGCATAATTGTTTTTAGTTCAGTCATGTTCGGTTCAGTGTCATCCCTGCACATATGTGACCTCATGGTTTGTGCTCAAGACTGGGTCAGAAGTTTACATCTTGATGTAATTTTGACATGAGCCGAGCTGCATGTCTCCTCTTTGTACATTAGGCAGAGAGCAGAGCGAGGGCAGGCCACTGTTGTCATCATTATGGTCCTGCCTCTTTGACACAACTCTGTCACTTTACATTTCACTCACTGCTCCTCTCCCTGCGCACAGCTGACTCCTCAGTAAAAATACTAAAAACACTTCTCAAGCCCTTTGTCCTTTACTTGCCTCAGTCAAAAACACCCCCATTTCCATTTTCTGTTACTAAATCATCTGCCTTCATTGTTACTTGGCCTCTGGGTTTCATGGAGCTATTTTGGACTGACCGGGATGACAGACTGACTTCCTCTTGATTGATTCTACTATTAGAATTATGAATATGGATTCATACTCACAGCCATTAGCCAAAACAAATTATTGGTTGTCATAAATTATCTAACAATCTGTATGTGACACGTTTTTTTCTGGGTGGATTCTCGCAGGAATTTAATTTTGTCATCACTTTGGTTTGCAGCTGCTCTGACTGTAGCTAGTTCCCACACAGTGTCACATACTTGATGCTTTGACTTTCAGTGGGAGTAAAACAGAACGCCACATTTTCAAAACATGGCCTCCTCAAAATCTGCCAATGTATCAGGCATCTGAGGTGAAGTTGTGAGATCTGTGCTCTGGAAAAAGCCAGCCTGCATGCCATTTATAGAGCCTTAAGTGTCTTTCATAATAACACTAGTATACACATCTGGCGGACACATTGCATTGAAAGCAGGAGGAAACATACAAATGGACGGGACAAGGGCAGTTTATTAAAAATAGCTTCTCGATCACGCTCTGCTGTCCGCCATTTTCTTTACCTAGAGTTTTTATTTTCCCCTAAAAGTTTCCCCTTGCAGAGCTTTTGTTGTAGCACTGTGCATTAGCTCCAGATGTGGAATGTGGGAAGCAGAGATGATGTTCCTGCTTATCCTGTGACATTCCAGAATCACATTGCAGACACCATCCAGAATCGTCCCGTGGTGGTCCACACCTGGGACTCGCCCTTGTGCCTGACAGTCTGTAGTCATAGCTGCCCCTGCTATACTTGCATTGAAGACTTGGGTCCGTGCAAGACACCAGGCCAGGCTTCCGGGCGGCTGCTCAGTGTAATGCACAACAGCTGGCCCCTGTGAACATTCCAGCTGAGGCCCCTTAGCCTCATGGGAAATCCCAACGGGGTTTTGTTTATTAAAACTATTAGTTAGCCTGTTTGTTGTTCCTGCCAGCCATAAAGCAGCAACCAGTCGCTTCTATATTCTCACCTTTTCTGCACTTCCATTGGATTATGTTTTGGAAAGAAGTGGTGTCATCATCAATACTTGACCAGGTGAACAAGATAAAGCTGGGGTACCTAACTTTATCATTTCATGAATGATAGAGAGTCTTGTAAACATTAATAATTTGTGAGCAAAGCAGACCACAACATTCTGTCTTAATCTTATTGAACAGTCCTTTTGCTAGAATCACCAGTTAATGTTTTGGCCTGAGTTGATTTCTGTCTGAAAAAGCTAGAACTATAGGACGAAAGCTTTAAGTTTAAGTTTTATTCACAATTCAAAACTATGTAGGACTAAATAAAAAAGGGTGGCTGGGACCAGAATCAGGAATTGTACATTGTGTTTGTTTATGTTCATCCCAATAGAAAGGAAGGATACACAAAAAAGAAAATTCAAGAAATACTGTATCATGACAATCAGAGCTAAACTAAAGATTGATTGATCAGAGCTCAACTAAAGCTAAAAGAAAAATCTGCTTTTAGACTGGACTTAAAGCTGGGGTGCCTAATTTTATAGAGAACAGAAAATATATCTATGTATTAAAATCCATGTAACTCTGTAACAGTTCTATCTATATACAGTATATGACAGAAAACATATGTATTTTTCCTGTCACATCATAAGATCAGCTTTTAAGACAGAAAAGCAAAATAGAGCGGACCAGCCTGACTCAGCCAATCATCTCTCAACCCAAAATGTCATATAGTGACTCACAGAGATCTTTTTTACGTATGTATGCAAAATATAACATGTTTCATAAGATGATGAAAAGACTCTTTCTTTTCAGAGTTATTTATGAAGAAAAAAAAGAAGAAAAAAGTTCAGCTGTAATGACTTCCAAATGAGGTCTTTTGAGAGAAAGTAAACTTACATTGAGACTATTGTCCAGTGTGATGATGTTTTGTTCTGTATCTTCATTCTTTCTCCCCTTTCTACCCCCTCTATCATGAGTTCATCCACACGCAGTAACTCTCAACCTAAATATTTAGTCGTCTTGGTTGGAAACTGCCATGTCCAAACTCTTTCCAGATGTGAGCCAGCGCACAAGCCCTGTGTTTGGGGCTAATTATGCACAGCCCACAGAGTTGCATCATGGAGGGAGGAAGGGGAAGGGAGCAACCAATAAGAGTGTGAAAGTTTGAAAAAAGGTGACATTTTAATGAAGGAAATACTTAAAGAAGTCAGCAAGGAAGGCAGAAGTGGTTAGGGAACAAAGAGAGTGACCGAGGAGGGAGAGGAGACTTTTGGCAGGCGTTTCAGACCGATGTTCCCCCAGAGACTGAAAACTCCCCACAAACAGGACTGGAGAGGAGGAGCACGGCAGCGCGCCGTTCGAATCCTGGGAAAACGTGAAGGAATCAAAACTGTGTGAAGATGGAGGATCATTTTACTGCTGCAATAACCTCAGTGTTGTGTCTCAAAAGAGTGAATGAATACATGGATGGGATACATCCTCTATAAGTTTGTCACTTAACCGTCTCATACTTGTTATTATTTTCTAAACTGTGTTTGTTCTGGTGACGGTAAAGTAATTAAAGCTGGGATACCTAACTTTAAACGCAAACATAGTAGAAAATCTACCTAACTAGTTCCTGGCTTTCAAAACAGTTTGGTTCCATCAGTTTTCACATGTATTTTTTGACCTGTGTCACGTCTTAAGGTCAGGCTTTTCAAACATAAAAGTGAGACACTCAGCCAATCAGCTTTCAGCCTAAAGTAGTAGTAAGTAAGTAATGTTTATTTATATAGCACATTTTACAGACCAAGGTCACCCAAAGTGCTGTTCAGAGTTCAGATATTTTTCCATTCTCTCCACACGGTAATGACAGAAGTGAGACCACAAACACACTGCCGCATCAAAGCCCCCAACCAACACCATTCATTCACTCATTTGTACCTATTGTACATGTTTTATAATGGTCAGGGAAACCGGAGAACCCGGAGGAAACCTACGCAGACACGGGGAGAACATGCAAACTCCTCACAGAAAGGCCTGGAGGTGTAATGAAACCCAGGACCTTCTTGTGAAACACGTGCTCTAACTGCTGCGCCATCAGGCCGCATCAATCGGTCACTCACAGGGATCTTTCTCACAAGTATTTATTCAAATATAATGTTTTCTAAAATGACGGCAGCATGATTGATTTGTTCACAGCATTATACTTTCTATTTGGACAATCAACTTGTGTTATTTAGGTTAGGTACAACAGCTTGTTGTGAATTCCCTGTTAGAGGAACGTGTTTCCAGTAGTGTGTGTGTTTTAATGGTTGTTTTCAGGGAGTGTCAGGGTTTAAGGGCCTGGTGCCCTGGTCCTTGTCTGTGGCTGACGGCCCTTTGTCAGAAACAGCTGCTGTGTGGACATTTGATTCAATGATGTATATGCGCCAGCAATGCCTACAATGCAGGACAGAGGTTGTAAATAGAAAAGAGTTTAGAGGTTTATAAATATTCGTTATGTTTTGTCTACTGAATGGTGGTATGCCCTTTATTACTAACCTTTATTAAATATCCATATCCATGGGCTTATTTACTATTTTCACACAGATTTGCGGATTAGACCAAGTAACAAAATAGATCTGTGGTCATTTGTCCCTGTACATTTTTTAAATGAATGAATGGGCAAAGAAATGTTCAGACTGCAAAACATCTCTATGGAGCATGTTCCCCTGGACAGTGACTGTGCACCACAGTACTCTGTGACTGTGAGTCAAGAAGACATTTTGTATTGGGAAGCACAGAGGCACAGCAGTTAGCACTTGTGCTTCACAGCAAGAGGGTTTGATTCCACCTCCAGCCTTTCTGTGTGGAGTTTGTATGTTCTCCTCGTGTCTGTTCCAGTGTTCCAGTTTCCTCTCGATATGAACAGTGTGTTCGACAGCGTGTTCTGTCGTGTCTGAAGTGAGAGTAACAATATCCATTTATGTTCATATATAAAGTGTTGTGCTGCTTTTGATAATTATCACAATGTAGTAGTAGTAGAAGTAGTAGTATGTAGTAGTAGTAGTAGTAGTAGTAGGAGTAGTAGTAGTAGTAGTAATGCAAACACCCAGATAAAAGTCTTCTCAACTTTTCTATGTGAATCTTTATTCTGTCAGTAACATCCAACGTCGCTCTTTCTGAAGAGGCTAAGAGGAGCTACCACCATGAGGCCTCTATCCTCACCTGCGGTGGATAAAAGCATTTCCTTGGCTTCACCTAAAGATATGTCCGTTTGAATGGACATGTCTTTAGGTGTAGTTGCTCTTTTAGCATCCCGCAGCTGCCTCTGTTTCGCTCCTCTTTGTTAGTATTAATATTTTCAAAAAGCACTGATTTCCCTGTGTTTGAACAGGATGTCACTTGTCCAAGTTAAATGGGTCATTCTAACTAAGTGATTTCCCGTTTAAATGAACTAGGTAACTATGATGCCATGTGTAAATCCATAT